AAGATGATTAATCTCAAGCTGATCGAAAATTTATTTTCGTATCGAGAAAAGCAAAGAAGGGTATCAAGAAATTTACGGCGATAAAAATCGACGATCACCCCTACACAGATTTTTTTTTGAAGTGAAGTGAAGACTCTGAAGACTTTTTTATTTTTTAATTAACTCTAGGAATCTTTGTAAGGATGACAATATTTTCTGCACAAACAAATTATTTTTGAGGGATAAAAATTATTATTTTCTGAGTCGAAAAAATTACTTTTCCTCTATCTAAAAATATTTTACTGAGTCAGTTTCAAAATAAGTGTCTCAAAATTTCTTAAAAACATTCTTTTTTAAGATTACACAAATTTTTTTTTGTAAGAAAAATATACTTTAAATATTTTTTTCTTGTACATCGTTTGACACACAAAATAATTTTTGGACTCACTTTTTCTCCCCTATTCAAAATTCATTGAATAAGGGATACTTTCTCTTGAGGAGCGTTCTTGTCTCAAACAAACGAGTATAAGCCAATTCACTTCTTATCGCATCTGGCTTGGGCCCTTTGTGTTGCGCATTATTTTCTCCATAATCGATTATCTGCCTTCATATAATCGATTAATAGCCTTTTCGTTGGATTCCCCTGGTCTAACCAATAATCGATTTTTTGTCTTCAATTAATCGATTGGTTCGGACAGAGCCGACTAATCGATTTTTAGGTCTTCCTTTAATCGATTATTTCTGTTCTTCTATTCGAGATTTTCGCCTCTGTGTACCGTAATCGATTTAACTATCTACGTTAATCGATTAATTTTATCTGGTGCATATCCTCAGCTTACTCCAACAGTTCTTTTTTTCTCAGCCTATTTAATCCTCATTCTCCTTCATTTTAAGACACAACTCTTGCACTCCAATATACCCTTTGAGCTATATTCATTCCTTGCTTCATCTTCCTCATCAAATATATTATTTTGAGAGTTAGAAATATTTTATTGAGTGCTAAAGATTTTGTCATCCATAGAGCTTTAATTCTTCAACACTACTTTGCTCAATTGTGTGAGCTTTCATTCTTGTGTTGTAAACTCAATCTCATTTGAGTGTTGTTCTTAAGACTTGTGTGACTCAAGTCTTGTTGTTGTAAGAAAGTGAGGCTTGTGTGATTCAAGTTCTCAAGTTGTACCGGTTTTTCAAGCACCCNTTCCTCATCAAATATATTATTTTGAGAGTTAGAAATATTTTATTGAGTGCTAAAGATTTTGTCATCCATAGAGCTTTAATTCTTCAACACTACTTTGCTCAATTGTGTGAGCTTTCATTCTTGTGTTGTAAACTCAATCTCATTTGAGTGTTGTTCTTAAGACTTGTGTGACTCAAGTCTTGTTGTTGTAAGAAAGTGAGGCTTGTGTGATTCAAGTTCTCAAGTTGTACCGGTTTTTCAAGCACCCATTGAAGCTTGAAGATTAGTAGGACTTTCGAGAGAGTCTCTCGGAGGACTAGACTAGCCACGAGGTGGTGAACCAGTATAAATCTCGGTGTTCTTCTTTCTCTTACTCTCTTTATTTATTCCTGCGATTTTATTATTTCACACACGCGAAAAACGCACATTCTTGAAAACAACTCTATTCACCCCCCTCTAGAGTTGCACATTTGTCTAACAATATGTAGGTTGAAATCAATAGAGGACCTATACTAATAGAAATTCCAATACTATTTTTGATTTCTTACGGAAAAATATATGGTCATTAACAAAATTATTAACAAAATTTACGGAAAATATAAAATATATAATAGTATATTATTCATCACCTTACTTATATTGAGTATATTGGATAATAATAATACTATTTTCGATCTCTTTACTTGTATATGGAAATCCTTAATTATGTATCTTGGATGATCAATAATATTATATGTAAATATATGCATTCAGATTATAACAATACAAACTCCAATTATGATGATAATATAAAAAATTAAAATTAAATATGAAGAAATATAAATACTATTTAAAAATAAAAATATATATAATATTTTTAATTAATTTAAATATAATTTTAGGACCATGCTACATATATTAATCCTTTACCAAGGAATTCTCACCATAATAAAGTTCTTCCTAAAATACAAAAGGTAGATAAATAATTAAATGTGAAACTCTCCTAATAAGGCCGTGCACTAGAAAATGATTTATGCATAGCGATGAATGGTATGATATGATGTCCAAGAATAGATTAATTCCTTAACATATGGTGATTGACAAAATTTACAAAAAATATTATTGAGAAACAATCCTAGATAGTACTAAATTTGAAAATTATGATCACGAATATATTATTCATCACCTTACTTATATTATATACGTAGTATGTTGGATAATACTAATATTATTTTGGATCCCTTTACTTATATATGGCAATCCTTAAATATGTATCTTGGATAATCAATAATATTATTCTAAATTCGTTTATTTTTAGTAAAGAATTCGTTATATCTAGGATGGACCCAATATTATTTTAAATTCCTTACTTTTATATATCTAACTGGCAATGAGTTAAATTGCTCACTTTTATATCCAAATTTATGGAAACTCTTATATACTTGGATCAAAATCCTATTATAAAAAGAGATATGTAATGAGTTGAAACGTGACATCCACCACCCATTTTCATTTTCTATTTCAATACATAGGCATTCAGAATTAATTATGTAATAAAGAAGCGGAGAATCGTTAATTCAACTTCAGCATTTTGTTTTTAAAAGGATTAGTGGTAGGAGCATCCTATTTTTCAATTTCAATTGGGGCTATGAAAAATCAAGTTGATGATACATAGACGAGATCAACTAGAGATGCAAGAGGAAGGAGAAAAGGAATACTTCAACAAAAAAGGACATAGAAAAGGTACGTACTTTATATATTATTTTATCTTAATATATTTAATTATGTTTTATTGTTTTAAGGTAATTTGATACATAACATTTTTGAATGTTTTAAAATAACAAAATCAAACCGGATATTTTAGTGACCAAAATTTTAGTATTTAAAATTTATATGGTTGCTTTTTAATGAGCATTTAAAAATTTTCTTATCTTCATATCTAAATCGTTAGTATCGATAAATTAATTATATGTTAAATAAATAAAGTTTTATGCAAAATTTAAAATTAGATGTCAATTTTAGAAGCATTTAACAAATTCTCCATGTGAAAATAAACATTCCAAGAAAAGATTACATAAAAATACGTGTACTTTTTTAATTATAGTCATGTTATTTTATCAATTGTAATCTACATCCGTAAAAAAATTAAACGTCGTTCATAGGTTTCATAAGAATCATGGATAATTAAAATGTATAATTGTTGATTTATCTAGGTATGCATATCGCTCACTGATTATTTTTTATCAATTTTATATTTACATCAACAGGAATAAAATGATGTCTAACCATGACTCTTTAATTTCATTTTTTATATTTTTAATGAAAAAAATAGTTTATACATATTGAATATTTTAAACAATTTAATGGGCGAATATTAACAAAGCTGTGTAAAAATATATATTCATACGGTTTGGTTCGGTTTTGCATAAAAAATATGTAAACCGTTGGTTATTCGGTTTGGTTTTATACGGTTTTTATTTCAGCTTTTTTCGGTTTTTTCGGTTTATAAAAGTAGAAATTTATAAGAATAAAAAATTGTAAAAACACTAACTCGATAAAATAATAACAATTTGTTTGATTTTTACACAAAAACAAAAACCAAACGGAAGGTTATTGTTCCTTTTGGTTCAATTTTACATAAAAAATATGTGTTTTGTGCCTAACAAACATTTAGAAGATTCCAAATACTTCCAAAGGCATCGTATGTAAAATCAATTACGAAGAATTTATATTTTTTTGTATAATACTTTCATTTTCATTATAACATCAAGGTATTTTTTATGTAAATATGTAAATTACGCATATCAATTTTTAATCTTAATATAATTCTAAATTAGGATTAAAGTTTATAATAATATGGCTAGTATATTTAAATAATAGATAAGAAAATAATTTTAATCGACTAGTAATTTATTGAGTTCCTTGATCAGATTACAGAAGTACATGTGCACAGTTGAAGCGCAAGTGAACATTGTTCCGTGGCTTCAAGTGGGAGATTATTGAGTGTGAAGCCAGGAAGCTAGGTGGAAGCTAACAGGAAATTGGCAGAAAGCTACCTAGAAGCTTACAGCTTAATCATTGTCTCCATAACTACTCTCTATTTAAGAGATGGTAATGTGCTTGTAATTGTGGTGCAACAACAATGAAATAAAATCCTCCTAGTTGACCCGTGTGGAGTAGGTTGCAGTTGGCGACCGAACCATGTTAAATCTTGTATCGTTTATTTTTCTGCAGTTGATTTGTTCTTGTGTGTTGTTTCCGCGTGCGTTTATTCCCAATATTTTTTAATATGTAATTTTTATTTTTTGATTCTATACCAATTTTTACTTATATTAACTTGAAAATAGTTTCAATCAAACATTGTAAATTGAACAAGAACCTTATTTTGGGACGGAGGGAGTATTTAATATGCAATACAATAATGTGGGCGGTTCCCATTACATTGCTTAGAAATATCATGGGATGACCCTGATGTCGTACGATGCTCCGTTCGTAAAATTGACGATTCTTACCCTCTTATCGCCCCCGATAANAACCCCCCCCCCCCCCCGCCCCTTCAATTTAACCCCACAAATTAACATTTAAAATGTTACTCCCTCCGTCCCAAAAAGATGTTCCTGTTTCATTTTTTGTGCGTCCTATAAAACACTTCTATACACATCTAAAATGCCTAAAATTTACCACAATTCTCATTTGTTGTAAGTAGAAGTTGTTTTGAAAGTTTTTTTTGCATTTGAGACGGGATATAAGCAGTGTCGCCCAATCAATTAAGGTGGCCCTGTGCAACTCAATAATTCAAGGCTCTAGAATATAAAAAAGGAGCGGTTCAAGGTAATAAGATTTTTGTTTGAAAAAGAACAAAGTACATATTACAACAATTTTCTTACACTTTGAATTATACAAACTACTTTAAAAGAGCTATTCTTCTAACATTGTTTGAAACAAAAGCTTCAATCACATCTTCGTAAGCAATATTATCCAAAAGATCACTTTCTATATTCAATAAAGCCAATCCATTGAGTCTTTCTTGTGACATGGTAGATCGCATATAAGACTTCAATAACTTCAACTTTGAAAAACTTCTTTCTGCAGATGCAACAGTCACAGGAATAGTTAACAAAATTCTATAAGCAATAAATGCATTAGGAAAGCTGCCGAGACGTTTTAAACACTTCAAAATATCGATAGCTTCCATTTTTTATTTTGGTAAGAAATGTTGCAGCAGTTTTAGCTCTGCATATAAATCATTCCCATCAATATCTGAATGTTCCGCATGTTTGAGGGAAGTTTCAAGATTGTTACAACAAACTTTTAAGCTTTGATCATCTAATGAGTGCAACTTGTCAGAAGTAAACAAGAAACCAAAAATATTTTCATATTGTTGATATTGTTCAAACCTTGAAGTTAGTGAAGAAATTGCTTCATCAACAATGAACAGAAAATAATTAATCCTAAATGATTCTTCTTCAGATTGTGATTCTGTAGCACACACATCACTTGAACTTTCATCAAAATGTTTTTTTCTTCGAGTTTTACGCCTTTCCGGAAACATTGGATTAATGTTCATTTCAATAGCTATTTCTCTAGCAGTTTGTAAGGCATCAGAAAATCCATGTTGTCTGTACTCTTTAAAAAAAGATATTAATCCCTTTATTTTTTCAATAGCAACATCAATAAGCATGTCTCTAGATTGTAGTTGTTTGCTAACTACATTAACAGCATATAATATCTCGTACCAAATTACTAATGCCATTATAAATTCAAAATCACCAAGGTCCTTTTCTGCTAAAGATTTCGCTTCACTCTTTATTTTTGAGTCTTTATCGCTTTCATGAATTTGAAGTAAAGCTTCACATATATTTGATATTTGAAACCTTATAGCTTTAACACTATCAATATGACTCTCCCAGCGAGTAGATGATAGTGGTTTAAGAGTTAAGCCTTTGACATTATCTTTCAAAATATGCCATCGTTTAGTAAAATTTGCAAAAATTGTATAGATGCGTTGGATAATTCCAAAAAAATCTCTAGCTTTACCAGAAACATTAGCCATATCACATAATGTTAAATTAAGGCTATGACAACCACATGGAGTATAGAAAGATCTAGGGTTGATGTCTAAAAGTTTTTTTTTAACCCCTTGATGTTTTCCTTTCATATTTGATCCGTTGTCATAGCCTTGACCACGCACATTATCTATATCAAGAGAGAGATTTTAACTCATTTTGTAAAACAACAAAAAGCCCTTGACCAGTTGTATCATTCACTTCCAAAAATCCCAAAAATGACTCTTCAACTTGAACAATATCAGAAGATAAATCAACATATCTTAATATCAAAGACATTTGTTCTTGATGACTTATATCAGGGGTGCAATCAAGTATCACAGAGAAATATTTTGATTGCTTTATTTTTTTGATGATAACAGATCTTATTTCAAAAGCAAGCAAAGATATTACTTCATTCTGAATCCTCCAACCTAGATAATGAAAATGAAGATCATTATTTGTAATGCGCCGAACATGCTCTTGAGTGATCGGATCAAATTCAGCTAACATTTCAATTAATCCTAAAAAATTTCCATTACAGTTTTGATACAATCTTCCATTAGTACCACGAAAAGCAAGATTATGCTTTGAAAGAAATTTCACAATATAAATAATTCTAAACAAAATTTTTCTCCAATGTTCTTTTTCTTTATCAAGTAATTTTTGAGCCACATTATCAATTGTTTTATTATTTTGCAACCTGAGACGCAAATCATACCAGGAGGTCAAATTTTTAACATGCTCCATGCTAAGTTCATGCTCCCTAATCCTACTGCTAGTATGTATCCAATCCCCAAAACCTTCATTTGCTAATTGCCCTTTTGCATGACCTTTTTTAAATATTTTACAACAAAAACAGAATATTTTGTCAAGTTCTTTCGAATATACAAGCCAATCCCTATCACACTGCTCCCCATTTGGTAAAATTTTAGTGTAAAAAGATGAAGAAAATCTCCTTGATAATTTATCCTTGGGTCCTTTTTTAATGTTTGGGTCTCTTTTAGGTCCATTTATCACTAAAAGGTCAATCATTTTAGAATCAAGTGCTTCCCAATTTCTTGGATCAAAAATATCAATTGAATGAAAGTTATTATTATCTTTTGTAGGATCATTAGCATTATCAGGTTTATTATCAAAACTACCGTCAACAATATCATCAAAATTACCACCAACATTGTCATTATTATTAGCATCAAAATTATCATCACCATTAGCACCAAGAAAATGCTGTGTATCATTACTTTTATCACCAAGATTATCAACAGCATTAGCATCCAGATTATCACAAAGAGCAGCATCATCAGCAACAATTACACTATCAATAACATTTTCAGAAGCAGTTTGTGAATCTTTTACAATAAATTTATGAAGGGCTCCTTTTTGAGATTCTATTAAATCTTCAATTCTTTGTTTCTTTTTACGTTTTGCATACCCAGATTCATATTTTCTTATTTTAGGAGGCATATTAGAATTAAATATATGAAGAAACAATAAAACCTGGGATAAGCAAATAGAGTGTGCAACACTGCAGTAGACAGAAATGGATGAAGAGAGGAATTTCAAATCTTGATATCTTTGATGAATAATGAGCTATAGCCTTCAAACTCTTTTATTAATTCTGAAAAAAAATCAATGATTAAAACCAAAGTTATAATGGAACTACTGGTCTTGCAAAATTAAAGAAGAAACACTAATTTATAACATTAAAATTTAAGAGACAATTAAACGATAAAATGAATCATTTAAGATTTTAAGATGCAAAATAAATTAAATTTCTAACACTAAAATAATTTTCAAACAAATCTAAACCACCTAAATTGACTTCCGTGCACAAAAAAAACCCAGCGAAATTGAATTTTCATTGAGAAAATGAAAGTAGCATGGTCAATTTGAAGGGAAAAAAACAGAGATAAAAATTAAGAACTCACCAAATAAGAAGAAATTGAGGAATTAATCGGTAAAGGAAAGAAGAGGGCTGATTTGCGATATAAAAAGAGGATGAATCGCTGGGAAGATGAGAAAAAGTTCCGTTAGACGCTGCGGAGGAACCGAAGACTCGAAGAGGCGAAGAGTCTGGAACTGAGGAACTCATCGGTCTTTTGCTTTCCTTTAGTAATATATTAGGTAATGGGCTTATAATTACTATTGGGCTTTAAAAAAATATGGGCCACTATATTTTTGAGGCCCTGTTCTGTTGCACCTATTGAACCTGTTAATGGGCGGGCCTAGATATAAGTGTTTTATGAGACACGCAAAAAATGAAACAGGAAGGAAGATCTTTTTGGGACGGAGGGAGTAAAAAACTATATATGTTAGGAATTAGGATAAAACTTCCATACGAATAAAGCTAGACGCCACGGAGGACATTCAAAAAACCTTCAAATAAATTTGCAGTGCCAAAGAAGCTCAAAGGATTGAATATAATATAAGTGGCTCACCTCATTGTTAATGTTGAATACGTAACATCTAAGGCATGCATTTGCACATGATGAAGCCCAATATACATGGAGACAATGGAGTCCCATATACTAATAATAATCCTACTCTTTTTGGAACTTTATTTTCTCTTAAAATTGACTTCTTCTTTTCTTTTAAATTTTGCTAGGTACAGTATATAGCTTGAAGAAAATACAAATTAAACTAATACTCCCTATGTACATGGTTACAAACTCTCTACGGCCTTGTTTGGGAACAACATTTTTTATTAGTGTTAGCATTTATAGAATTTTAATGATGTACTCCCTCCGTCCCAAAAAGTCTTTCCTGTTTCATTTTTTGCGCATCCCATAAAATACTTCTACCGACATCTAAAATGTTTAAAATTTACAACATTTCTTCTTTAATCTGATATGCCTCAAGCGAACCTCCAGAGAATTTGGATTTCAGCCAATCGACTGATTTTTGATGAAATGCAATACGATCGAATTGCATTGGCAAGCGAGCACACCAGACTATTACGTTCACTGAACGGTGAACAACGTGCAGCGTATGAAGCAGTAATGCAATCTGTTCAAACAAATGCTGACAAAATATTCTTTCTGTACGGATATGGAGGCACTGGCAAGACTTATGTCTGGAGAACATTATCAGCTGCAATACGATGTCAAGGTGATATAGTACTAAATGTTGCGTCAAGTGGTATAGCATCGTTATTGTTGCCAGGTGGTAGAACGGCCCACTCGCGTTTTAAGCTCCCATTGATTCTAGATGAAAACTCTACTTGCAACATAAAACAAGGCTCTCCGCTGGCACAACTCTTGGTGAAAGCGAAATTAATCATTTGGGATGAGGCCCCTATGACACACAAGTATTGCTTCGAAGCTTTGGATAGAAGTTTGCGCGATATTCTACGATTTTCTAATCCGATGAGTGAACAACAAACTTTCGGAGGAAAAACAATTGTCTTTGGTGGAGATTTTCATCAAATTTTGCCAGTTATTCCAAAAGGAACGAGACAGGACATCGTTAACTCAATGATTAATTCTTCATACATTTGGGAAGACTGCACTGTGTTGCGTTTGACGAAAAACATGCGGCTGCAATCAATGATTCATGACAGTGGTTATGATCAATCATTTGAATTCAGCAAATGGATTCAGAGTATTGGTGACGGGAACGCAGGTGAAGATCATGACGGTTATGCTAAGGTGATTATTCCTGATGACATGTTACTTCCGTCTTCTGAAGATCCAATAGCCACTATAGTGAATTCAACTTATCCAGACTTTCAAAAAATAGCCAATGAACTGAGCTACTTGCAAGAGCGTGCAATTTTGGCTCCTACACTGGATGTCGTCGATTCCATAAACGAATATATGACAGCGATGAATCCAAGCAATGAGACTCGAACATACCTTAGTTCTGATAAAGTTGAGAACTCAGATTGCAGTTCAAGTTTTTTTGGTGACCTACACTCTCTCGAATTCTTAAATAAGATTCGTGCTTCAGGTGTACCAAATCACGAATTAACTCTGAAGGTAGGCACGCCTATTATGTTGTTGAGAAAATATTGATCATTCAATGGGTTTGTGTAATGGTACACGGTTCATAGTAACCCGGTTGGCTAATCACTCTATACAAGGAAAAATATTATCAGGAAGCCACATGGGTGAAGAAGTTGTTATTCCAAGACTACCATTAACACCGTCCGATACAAGAATTCCATTCAAGTTTCAAAGAAGACAATTCCCTGTGGTTACTTCGTACGCAATGACGATTAACAAGAGTCAGGGACAATCTATGAAACATGTTGGACTACTGTTACGGAAACCTGTGTTTAGTCATGGACAGCTCTATGTTGCAGTTTCAAGAGTAACTAATCGTAGTGGATTGAAGATTCTGATATGCAATGAAGACGATACTCCCACAAATACTACACATAATGTAGTATATAAAGAAGTCTTTCGAAATTTGTAAAACATTGATGTTCTGTACTTTGAAATGATATAATCTCTATATTCTATTGCATTTCAATTTTTATCATTGAAAAATGATCTGAATTTATAACATAAAAATGACCCGTGCAACGCACGAGTGTGATACTCGTGTGTTTAGTGCCTAACAAACATTTAGAAGATTCCAAATAATTCCAAAGACATCGTATGTAAAATCAATTACGAAGAATTTATATTTTTTTGTATAATACCTTCATTTTCATTATAACATCAAGGTATTTTTTTTATGTAAATATGTAAATTACGCATATCAATTTTTAATCTTAATATAATTCTAAATTAGGATTAAAGTTTATAATAATATGGCTAGTATATTTAATTAATAGATAAGAAAATAATTTTAATCGACTAGTAATTTATTAGCATTTATATTTCTATTATTTTTCTACATATCACATATATTCATATTAATAAAGTGAAGTATCTAAGAAAGTTTGGTTTATTCGGTTTGGTTTTTCAAAATGAAAACCAAAATGGAACCAAACACTAACGGTTCGGTTTGGTTTTTTTACATTTGGTTTCAGTTTTTTCGGTTCGGTTTTTTTTCTAGCTCGTTTCGATCGATCTCGGTTTGGTTTGCGGTTTTCAGTTTTTTCTAACCTAGCCCTAGTACCATCTGATCCATGGCTACCCTTGAAGTTCCAAAGAAGACAATTCCCGATCGCCTCATGTTTTGCTATGACTATCAACAAAAGTCAAAGTCAAACATTGTCATTTATGGGATTATTTTTAACTAAGTCAGTGTTCACACATGGTCAACTATATTTTGCTGTTTCACGAGTGAATACAAAGACAAGATTAAAAATATTAGTTCTAGATGACAATGTAAACCCTTGCAACCATACCAAAAATGTTGTATACCCTGAAATCTTTTAGAAAATTTGGTATTAAAATAAACATTGTTAACTCTATATTTTGTTCCTCAAATATTATTTATTTAACTTTGGCTTTTTTCATTTGTAGTATTAAAAATCGTGTGAGCAATATATTTTCTTTATTCTGAAAAATAAATTTCATTGAAATAATTCAGAATCAACATAAATTTCTTTCGATCCCGTGCGTGGCACGGGTTAGAATACTAGTAATCATTTATGTGCCAAAACCACAAGCTTGAACTTTTTAGTTGAATTGGTCCCGGATATACATTAAGGGGGGTGTATTCAATCCTGATTTTAAAAGATTCTGATAGATTGTTTATAATACATGGATTCTGTAAAATCAATAGGACTATTTTAAGTCTGTGCAGAGTTAGATAGATTTTGATGTATTTTATGAGCAGGATTTTATAGGATTCTGATAGATTGTTTATAATTCATGGATTACCTATATTTAAATTTGAGTTATTTTAAAAATTCATACATTATTCTAACATTAATTATTACTTGTGAAATTGGCCAAAAACTTTATAAACAATTTAATAAATGAAAACAAATTATTTTTTTAATACATTATTATTATTAGTATTATTATCATAAATTTATTAGCATAAAATAATATATTGAGCTCAACACCAACATATAACAACAACATAAGCTAAACATATTTTAAAATAACTTAATAAACCAATAGTATTCTAAACTCGCAATCAAAATAAAGTCACTACATAAAAGATAAAACATTCAAAATAAAGTCACATAACTCTTTCATTCATCTTATCATTTTATCTTCTCATTTTGTGACCTATCCAATTAAGCCGCTCTTCATGTGACATCTTCACGAACACGTCTTATATATAGGTGGAATTTGAAATTGAAGTGGTGATGTGGAGTGAATAGGTGGAATTTCCCAACAACTACACCATTGAGTTTTTCCCAACAACTACACCATTTCCAATTGCAATTTTCAAGTCCTCATAATCCTGAAATGTTCCATAACGTAATTCAATGCTATCCTTTGGATAAGCCTATACAAAAAACATAAATCATGAATTTGTTATTGCATTAGATCTTTCATAAGAGTCATTTATTAGAATAATTTTTCATTTAGTACTAAGGAAGCTTACCTTAAAATAATCATCCCATATTACTTCAATCGGTTTTGGTAATTGAGGTAGTTCTTGTGACACCTAAGTTTTTTTTATTAAGAACAGGAAGTATCCTTTGTTCCACAGTTTGCTTAGAAAAAATGTCACTATTATCATGCGATCCTCGAGCGGCGACATCTAGCATGAACTCTAATAGTGCATCACTCTCTTTGGTTGTCAATTGCTCAAAACCTCCTTTTTTGGTACTTTGTTGTTGATCACCCATGATGATATTACTATGTTTTACAATAGTTAACAATACATTATAAAGAATAACACTATTTGATATTTATGAAACTAGATGATGACAAGAAATCATAAAGAGAAACAATAGGATGCAAAACAAATCATAGAGAGAAACAATTCATAAAGAAAAACAAATCACAAAGCAAAAAGTACTCCCTATTTACTAAGGATATAAAATGCAAAATCCATACTTCACTTTAACCATTACTGAGTGCTATTCACCCTGAGAGATAACAAAATATCTAGAGATGATTTTGTAAAATTTTACTATGCCAGAGTAGTACATCAAAAATCATCATTTTTTTTATCCATATTTTTTTGTCATTTGTAAAAATATATATCAAACAGATTTTGATTGAATCTGTTAAAATTTTTTTTACTAATGATCACATCATTGCTATTCCATAATATGTTCGATAATAAAAATCATTATTTTCACTCTCAGACAAATTAATCCATATTTACAAGAAAAAAATTAAACAGAACCTATGAATAAAATTCCTTCTAAAAATGGAGGGTAGGTGAAAACAACCATTAACTTCTAAGCATATGTCAGTGTTTACTCGAAGGTGAAAATATTAGAGACTCGAAGGGTAGGTGAAAACTCGAAGCCATTCATTTTCGGAAATGATTAATTTAGACTCGAAGGTGATTCATGGTCTGGGTCGGAAATTAGGGTTTGAAATACATAAAAAAATTCAGTAAAAAAACTCCAAAATTATGTTTGAATTTAGCTTGATTTGAATAAATTATTGATAACCAGAGAGAAAAATGAATTGTTAAACAATAGATAAGACCTTACCTTGAAGATGGAGTGAAGGATTGAAGGTGATGAAGATGGATAAGATGAAACGAGTTCGTGCGTGCGGAAGAAGAGAACAGGATTCTGCAAAATCGCAACCCTTTTGATCGGATTTGTAACTTGGATCGGTATTTATACTGAAGGCATCAAAATCCATCTAAATCAACATTTTTAAAAATCTTTCAAAATCTATCAATTTTTGAATACCATAATATTTAGAAGGATGTTTTAAAATCTGAATTCAATACACTCAGATTTTACATGACTTTTTAAATTCTGAATTGAATACCTACGGATTTTCAGAATCCAAAAAAATCTATCTGATTGAATACACTCCCTAAGAGTCAAAGTGAACAAATATACTGGGACAGAAGAAATATTTGTTTGTATATTTTCATTAACCATTTGATAAGATAAACTAATTTTGTCACATCTTATTTTATTGACCTTTTGATGTAGTTTTGAACAGTGTAACTTTTTTTATATAACAATTTGTGAATAAACTAGTTTTAAAAAAGATAAGATTTACGCTGTTCAAAATAGGAAGATAAAAATGGATGGAGGGAGTAGATTATCTTAGAAATATTTACATGAATAATCCAAAAAAATCTTAAGTGTATGTTAGTACTCCAAAATTCAATAAATTACACTAGTGCTGCTGAAAATTTTACATGTACTGTTAATTGGTTGTTGCAAACCCGACCAAATACTGCATATGTAAATGAGATATTAAATGTTAACTGCATAGTTTTCAGAATCGAACCGGTAATCGAACCGGTCAAGGCACTGGTTCACTGGTCGAACCAGTGGTTCGAGTGGTTGAACAAGTAGTTCAAACATTTTTAATATATATGTGTGTGTGTGTGTGTGTGTGTGTATGCATGCATGCATGTATAGACACGTTGTGGCATTGAATTAAAAAACTAATATATGGGTAAATAAAATAATATTTCCTCTATTTATAAATAAAGAATTGATGTTTTACTAAATTTATAATTTAATTTAATTTACTTGAGTTGTGTCATTAAATAAAAAATAAAATTTACTTATTTAATTGAAAAAGTATCCATCTTTCCAACCTTCCATTTACACTAAATAAATGTCCAAATTAAGTTTAAATTTATTCTCAAAAAGGGTAGTATTCAAAACTTCTTTGGCTATGCCTATACGAGGCATGTAAAGCTCGAATTTTTGACACTTTGTGAAGCAAAATACACAGAGCATCCTAGAAACAAGGGTAGAAAACGGATAAAATGTGAATGCATCATAAAATTTTTCAGTCTAAAAAGAAAAAATCAAAGAACCAAATCAAAGTCACCCAAGAAATCACAAACCTAAACAGAGCAATATGTAACTCTTAGATTAGACCCAAAAATGGAGAAAGCTCACAAGAAACAATTGGCACACACAAAAACAAATGTTTCTGCTCAATATGTGAAGGGAATTTAATAAAATTACAATTTGGAAGCTTCTTAGTTCACCTTGAGGATAAAGAACAACATATGTTCATTTTCAATATGGAAGAAAGTTCCTTGTCTAGTTAACACCGGAACCCTAAAATCCACGAATTAATTCAAAGTGCACATAAATCGTGTCCAAACACAAAAGAGGCAGAGTTGTGAATGAAATTGAAAAGTAAGGGGAAAGAACCCACCTCTAAGGCTTTAGATGATTCCAACCAATGGATTGGAACCTTAAGTTCGTCTCCGCTGCTAGATCTTTAAGACTTATCTGATTGAGAGCTAGGGTTTGATCGTAGCACGCTTGCACCGGCACTAGGGATGGCAACGACATTGTTGGCTAGCGCGGAAATGGCGACTACCAAAAGACGACGGCGCACGACGATGGTGAATGAACAATCTCAGAGAAGAAGAAAGATACAGAATCTTGATATCTGACCTTCGATGCAAATTAAAACGAGAGGGTCAATGAAGAGAAGATTGAAAATAAGCGGCAGATGTAGACGATTGAAAAAGGACGGTGAAGGAGAGGCGAAGACAAAGGGAGGCGCAAAGATTAGGACGAGGCAAAAACGATGGAGAATGGCAGGATGAGGGAAGGCGATGGTTGCGGCGGCTTTACAGTAATAAGCTAGAAACCCTAGATGGGACTGAAGAAGTTGAAGAGATGGGATTGGAATGAATCCGATAGACGAAGATCAGACGAAAAGGGTAACGATGAAGAAGCTTGATGATGGTACTGAATTTTTCAATTGTGAAAGAATTGAACAATACCTTATTTCAAAATGAGCATTTCCTTATTTGAGAATGAGTATTGTTTTTTAAGAATGAACACTACGCTATTTATTATAATTATATTAGACAAATGTGTAAAAATGAGTGCTTCTCTATTTTAAAATGAGTACTACCTTTGTCAGAATGAGTACTACGTATTTCGAAATGAATGTTTATATTTGTACGAGAATGAGTACTACTTTATTTCAGAATGAGTACTACCGGGATGTACCTATCTCTAGGTACATCCGGATGTACCATATACCTTCTCATAAATACTCCACTTTAAAAAAAACCTAAAACAAAAAAGTATTAGCATCGGTTATTTTAAACAAACGATGCTAATACTTATTTTTATTTTTACTATGTTTTTAAAAATATCAATGGCATCACTTTTTAAAAAGAGTAAAATCTATAAAAGGTTCCAAGTTATAGTTCGTTTTACATATTTAGCCCCAACATATCAAATATCAATAATTTAGTCCCCAATTATGATATTGTTTTCCACGAATGGTCCTTTGTTAACAATTCCATTAATACGTGAAATTTTTTGTAAATTTACGCTCCTCTCTCTCCTCAATTAAGCTTCCTCTCTCCTCTCGCATTCATTTCCCAAACCCGTTGCTGAGTTTGAAGCTTTGAACCCAAAACCGAAATCATCCCTCCTCTCTCAATTGCTCATCTTCCTGCCGAAATCCAAAATCAAAACAGGTAACCTTCATGATTTAAGTTTTGTTTTCTTTTCAATTTCTTGAGACTAATCCATAAATTCATCAATGAAGGTTATTGATTTCGATTTTGAGTTCCACGAGGAAGATGAACAATTGAGAGAGAAGTGATCATTTCGGTTTTGAATTTAGAGCTTCAAACCCAGCGACGAGTTTAGGATCGAGTACGAGAGGAAGAAGAACGTTTAATTGAAAAGAGAGAGAAGTGTGAATATATAATTTTATCAATGTTCTTAACGAAAATGTTAACAGAACACTATTTGTGGAAAACAATATAATAATTGGGGACTAAATTATTAATATTTGATATGTAGGAACTAAATAAGTAAAATGACCTGTAATTGGGGATCTTTTATGAAATTTACTCTTTTAAAAACAATCGATGCTTTTGATCTTTTGCATCGGTTGTTTTAATAACCGATGCAATTGAGGCAATCAATTTAGGCAGCATTCCATTCAATTTATTTTTTCTACTTATTACTTATTCTTATTATAATCAGATCACAACAGATCAGATCAAAAATAGCTTTAATTATAATTGCAATTATATCAAACCAGATCATATCAAATTTTCATAAAATCTGATCAAGTTATGCAAACAAAATGCAGCCTTACTTAGTTTTGTAGTAGTGTTCAATTAGGGCTGGAAAAAAAACTGAAAACCCAATAGAAACCAATCGAAACGAGCTAGAAAAAAAACTGAACTGAAAAATCGAAATTGAATGTAAGAACAGAACTGTTTTTGTTTGGTTTCCGTTTTGGTTTCACTTTTGAAAACCGAACCGAATAAATTGAACTTTCTTGGTACTTCGCTTTATTTATATGAGTATATGTGTGATAAGTCGGTTTTAGGTTAGTCCTTTTTATTGTGTTGAGGATTATGCACGCAACACACACAAATAATCTGCGAGAAATGAGAGAAACGGAACACAAACGACACACAAGAATTTAACATGGTTCGGTTTCCCTAATCCACGGCTGCAACAGGAGGATTTTCTTATTTCACTTGTGGTGTCACGATTACAAATACAAGCCCTCTATGTATAGGGAAAAAGCTAGGGCTATGCACAACTGGGCCAGGCCGACAAACAAGCCTCCACAAAGCCCAACATTCTCCCACTTGGAGGCTTGATAATCATCAACTGTCATCCTCTACAATCGCCTGTACATCGAGTAATCTTCCTCAGCTCTCCTGTTGCAGCGGCCCTATCATCAGACAACTGAAAGGCCCGTTGAAGCTCTCCCAAGCTCCAACACATCATTCACGGCAAAATCTGCCCCTGACTCGTCCTCGGTCCCTACCGGCTCCCACTGCAGACGCACACTACCGGATCCTGGAACATCCTGAGAACAAACACTCTCCATACTCGGCAAGAAATTTTCTGGAGATGTTCTAACAGCTGGAATACTGGTTCTCCTGACCCACTGTCTTCTAGGCAACTTGGCTGAAGCGCCTCTTGAGCTCCCACTGCCACAAATACCTCTGACTGGCCTTCTTGAACCTTTCCACGCTCGTTCATCCTGAGTCTGACCTGTGGCTCTAGGTTTCTCTCTTGCATAGACAACCTTATTCTGCCCACGAGACTCTGTGAACCGGACTTTGTTTCTCTTCTGAACTGGGGCGGTCACTCCCTCAGATGGTAACTCGACCAAATACAACGAACCACTCTTCCTTCCGCGGGCCATGACAAGATTTCCCTTCACGACCTTCCACTGCCCATCTCTGAACTTAACCTCGTGTCCCTGTTCGTCCAACTGCCTGACAGAAATCAAACTTTTCCTCAAGGCTGGAACCACTCTAACATCCTTTAAAGTCCAGAGACCGGCTGAGGTCTTCAACACCATGTCACCCATGCCCGTCACCTCAAGAGCTCTGTCGTCTGCTAGTCGTACCTTTCCAAAATCTCCAACAACTAGATTCTGCAATGCTTCACCGCTGTGGGTAGCATGAAATGAAGCACCAGAATCCATGACCCAGGAATCCACATTGCTTTCCTCACAGCAAGTCAGAGCGACCTCCTCGTCACTCGCAGAGCCTTGAGCAATGTTTACTTTCTTATCATTCGGACATTGATTCCTAAAATGCCCTACCTCCTTGCACTTCCAGCACGTTACACCTGAGCTGTCACGAGTCTTCGACTGACTCCTTTGTCTGTTC